GCAACCTCCCGCGTGCATCCATAACTCAATAGTGCACGCTATGACGTTTACCATTTGTTAAATAAGTGTACCAGTCTTACACTAGGAACAAAAATTTAAGACTTTCTACAGCACAAGTTCACAATCCAGGCTTTTTTTTTTAAGGGGATTGCACTCTAGCCCATGTTAAATTCTAGCCAAGAAAATTGAGTCAATTCATCACCTTCTCAACTGATGATGGTTAACAGAAATTTAGTTCCAGAGGTTACATTAAATGAATGTAAAATTTCAAGAGTGCAAAGCAGTATAACTAGAAAACCAACTAAACTAAGTCATGTCCCCTCACACTTAAGTGACAATCAGTTCTCAGTACTTACATGTTTACAAAGAGCAAGAATTCAGTCACATCACCAACAAGATAATCGGGAAGAGATGCAAGCTCCATGGAAATCTTTTCTGGCAGAGGTGTACTAAGCCTGAAGAGACAAATAAACACTAAGGATAAAGGTGCAGAATGTCATATTAAGTAAAACATTTGTCAGAAAACTTTCATCAACACACAGCGATAGTAATCAATTTCTTCGAAACACATTTAGGATAAAAACTAGACATGAATTAAAGTGGCTGTCAGCCACTCAACCTGGAAAATGGATCCTCTGTAAACAGTGGAAACTGTAATGCCACTAAACAGAGTTTTTAATCCATAGGTCATATATCATTTATATATCGAGCTAACTAACTGTTCCCTTTGTGCCATGTGGCACATAGGACACATATATCGAGCAAGAAAGGCAAACTAGTGAGAAAAACCCAGATAGTGCAGAGTGTAATGTATAGGTCTGACACAGTACTCATAACACAGTTCCCGTATAACCCCTACCATTCACTCCTGGTCTGTATTGACCTAGCTAGTTTTGATGAGACATGATCTTAGCATTGTATATGTTTGATGTGTGTAGTTTCATTCACAGTCCATGGATAGCTTACAATTAATTACTGTTTGTCAAGACAGCTCTTAAATTTTACTGTAGTGTTTTACGTTGATTTTTGCTCATTTTAAATTAAATAATACATGTAAGTAGCGAACGTGACAATTTTACTCTTCACGCAAACGTTTGTAACTTGAAACTTTTGTTTTCCTCACAAAGGTATGTAACCTGAAACTCTTGTTTTCTCGAAAACACACGGAAGATGTGCTTGCATTCTTTTCACAGCTGTAGATAGATGGAAGAAAGCTGAATTTCGGAAGAAATGGAAGAGGAATGATTTGCTTTATTTAACATGCAAATTTTCTTTTGACCGATAAAGAACTAATCTAATGATCAAATTGTTGTGGAAGAACAGGTCCTGTTGCCACCTTTGGCATTAACAATAAAATCACTTAAATTTAAAATACACACTGATATTGATTGATACAACTGAGAAGCGTTTCAACGAGAGGTATTGAAAGTAAACAGTGCTCCTTGACCGAGATTATATCCTTCATCGGTGAAAGACTCCCATGAGAGACTGATAAATATGCTTTCAGTAGATACCATGGAGTCTGCAGCAACATTTGAGCAGTTTCCTGGGTTTTTGTACAATTTGACAAGTTTTAATGCCACTTACTCGGGAGAGTTTTGGCTGCGGGTACAATGTATGAACGTTTTGCTCTCTTTGATAGAGACAATTAAAGAATGAAATAAACGCACTAGTGTAGTTTGGAAACAGCAGATGATATTTCTTGAACCGAGTTAGGTGTAATCCCAAAAGACACACAGTAACAGTAGCATTCTAGTATTGTGCTAACGATGCTAGAACACATGCGTATGACTTATTAGGGTTCTACCACATGGAAAAGGGCTCAGTGTTAGTGTGTGATCTTGTATGAAATGTATTTTCCATCTGATATGTGGTTGACACTACTGCTTATTAATCTATGCATGCATTTAGAGCAAATACTGATTTTGTTCTAAAGAGAAAAGTACAGTACCGGTCAAACGTAAGTTGACAGTCACTCAAAACTTGAACGACTCGACTCGATCCTTGATCCTCGAAACTCGAAAACTTCGAGTATCGAGTCTCGAGTCGAGTCCTCCAAGTTTTGAGTTGAGTCATTTGAGTTTCGAGTTGAAAAGACAAAGAATTTATCGTGCAATTAATTTTTCCAAATACAGGTACTTGTCAATCTTGCTGGTTTACTTTTGGAGACAGAAATTTTCGAGTCGCGACTCCAGAGGTGGTAGGCGACTCCACATTTGTAAATTGGTTGCCTTCATTAAATCGATTGTTTTGTCCCTCGGTTGAACTTCTTTCGATCTGGAGTTAATTATCATTCAATTCAGAGTAACAACAGAGTAACAATTCTGATGATGACGCTGAGTTTCGTTGAAATCAACTGTACGAAGGGCTCGATAGAAATCAGAAACGTTAACTCTCGAAGCGCGTACGGAACTCGAAATCATCAGCTTCTTCCAATCGGTTGTTTGTTTTGAAACTTGGTATGAACACATTCCTTTTGATTCAGAGCTATCTTTAATTCATTCGCTGATGATTTCAGAGTAACTTTTCCCGTCAGTTGTCAATTCAATGCTAGGTTTTGTTTTTATGGCTCGATAGAAGTTAGAAACTCTTGAAGCAGGCTGTTTCCTGCAGACAAGAAAATACACGTCAAAATTGAAAGATCTTATCTTCCGCTGAAGTTAAGATCACTAGTGGAGGTTACTAGACGTGGGAAGCAACGATTCTGATTGTCCAGCCTGTCATTGTAAGTCATAAAAAAAGTCAACACAGTCGTTTCGTCTGAGATCTGTCTAGGTTTTTTACAAAGGCACAGGAAGTTTCATTTGTAGCTTAAAACAAGTTGCTTTGTTAAACATGCCTTAATGTAACAGAAGTTGACATGACATGAGTAATTTAATGCTGCCAAGCAAGTTTTGCAGTTTGATCGAGTTGCACACAAACATAATCCGCGAAAAACATGAAATCATGCAATCCTAATTAATTAATTGAAATTGATTAATTATACAAACATGAAAGTTTACACCTTATGGCCATAGTGCCATAGTGCCATAGTGCCATAGTGCCTTATTGCCATAGTGCCTTATTACCATAGTGCTTTAGTGATGTCAACCCCCAAACCATCCCAATAGTGCACTCTGCACTAAAAATGAAGTCACAGGCTACTGACACTGTTAAGAAATAGTGCAAAGTGCAACTGTAAGAGAATACAGAAGGAGACGTGACACTGCAAATCCTTGTCCATCCAAGACGGTTACCACAATGAAAGTACTGCTTCTTCTCCGATCACCAATGCTAAGCTTACCGAAGGCGTGACCACGTAATAAAATCCCAGTATTTCAGGTTCTCATTTTCTTTCCTATTCTTCTTTTTTTTATTGTTCTTCATTTTCCCCACCAATGTAAACAATGTAAGTGATTTCATCCCCTTACATTTACTTTCTGACGGCTTCTTCATCTTTGGTGTAGCCCATCCATTGCCCTGTATGGTAAAGTTTGACTGCTCCATCGATATAAAGTTGCATATAATTTATATCTTTGATGAGATCTAAAACTGATCATCAGTTAAACATTTATGATCATAGGTTCTGGGTTCAGTTTCAAGTGTGGGATTTGTAATCTTTGATTTTGGAAATAAACTACTCTGTTCAGCATGGAATCCAGCAATACCACAAGGACAGCACCACATCTCATCCAATCAACAAAGCTGAGCCCCGCTCGGCAGGGTTAGTACTTGGTTGGGTGACCAAATTATAAGTGAAATGTATAATTCGGCTCTCCTCAATTGTCCTGTCCGTTACTCACCTTAGAATATTAAACACGGCTATACTGAATTTGATTTCAAACTTACTTGAGCCTGATGTCCGAAATACATTTCAGTACATACATGTACATGTGTATAATTATTATTAACATTTTCACTTCTTGACTAGTGGATTGTACAAGTGGCAAAGTGGGATAGTTGTTGCACTGTGAGTGGGAACAAGTGACTTCAAATCTCATAGGAAGCAAAAATTCTTTTTTCTTTTAATGTATAGGTTTACACTAAGAAACCATTATTTTACCAAAAGGCCACATTTGTCTTTCCATTTCTTGTGTTTAAAAATTGTCTGGAGCTTTTAATCATTGATCTCGATTACTATGCAACTGACAACACTCCAGGCATAGTCAATTGATTAACTGATAATTGATATTAATCGATAACAATCAATATCAATCTTTGATTGATATGGATTGCTGATAGCAATCGAAGAAAATCGATGAAGAAAAAAGTTGTGAGTTATCAAGTAAGAAATGGTGAGCATGCAGCATGCAACTATCAAGTTATGGATGCATGCAGGAGGTTGCTAAGCATCAAAGAAGTGTAAGAGTTGCAAGAGGCGATAGCCAAGTGCGACTCTAACCTCTTGAGTGCTTAGCAAACTTCCCAAGTGCATCCATAACTCAATAGTTGCGTGCACGCTGCATGCTACATGCTTACCATTTCTTTTATAACATTGAGACTTTTAACATCTTTCCTCGGATGGAAGTATTTATTGAATGTCCTCCTGCTTACATGAAGTCAAAAGCACAATCAACTGCATGAAAATGTTCGTTCAAAAATCTGCCAAAGCAACACATCAACATTTTTCTTGGATTGCAGTGAGTTAGTTTGTTTTCTCGATCTGGGACAAACAAACAATTTCAAACTGCTCAGTTAACCTAAATATCAAGCTAACAACAAACAAAACTTGCTGTCAATAAAAACTGAAAGCCAGGCAAACTGTAAATAATTCATCAGAGGCTACCAATGTTCCAAACTTTCAAACTTCCTTTACTAAAGCTCGGTAAAACTATTATCTTTAATGTTTTTGGAACAGAAGAATTTTGTATGTAAGGCTTCACTTAAAACAGAAATTTGTTAAAACTCTCATGTACAAGTTTTGCTCGCCGAAAGCTTTCGACGCCAGAAATGTTTACAATGAAAGCTAGCTTGTGCTGAATTTTATTGTTGCCTATCGCTGAAAAATTATTTCTAAAATTGCTGCTATGCATTACTAACCTCGAAAGGTTGATACAGACCAGTTTGTTGTTTTTTGGTAAGTCCGTCTCAAAGTGTCTTTGTTCAACCAGCTGTTTCAACTCCTACTCGCTTAAATTAGCAAACATCTTAGGTGGAGGCCCAGTAAAAAACTAGAGCTCAAAATTTGGTCTCTTACAGGAATAATCTTCTTCATATCCAGAAGAATTATTAGATTTTGCCATATTTTAGGAGAAGAAAAAAAGAATTATGTTTTGAAAAGTGCCAAAATCGATGAAAAAAATTGCAGAGAAAAAGTACAAATAAACAAACTGATTTGAGCATGCAACCCACCAGCAAATGGTTGGGCATATGTGACCTTCCACAGGAAAACGTACATTAATGCTTTTCCGTTTAATGGTTCTAAGCGTTTGATAGTCATTTGTTTACTGTTAGAACGGTTTAGAAAATCGTTAGAAGTGTTAGAACGTCCACTAAAATTTTCACTCTAGCCGTTTATGGCATTGGAAAAGTTGTAAAAAGCGTTTTCACCGTCCATTAAAAGCGTTAGTAAAAACCGTTCAAATTTCCCTTCAGTGGCATTAAAAGATCTTGAAAGCGTTCGAAAAGTCATTAAATTGAAACGTTGACTGTTTAAGTTAAACACTCAACTGGTTAAGTGTTGAATTAAATCTAAAACAATTGTGAGTAAGCTGTTTTTCATTCATGTGGCGTACTTTATCTACGAGGCGAGAGGTGAAATATCTGATTTTTTGAAAGAAGAGTTTCTATAAAATTAATTCTATGCAATTGGAGTTTCAACATATTCCGAGCAAGCAAACAAGCAGACAGCACTTCATGAGTTGTTTTGTTCAGATCCAGCTTATTTTTGATGAATAATTACAAGCATACCTTGTTTCCCCTGGAATGGCCACTCACCGAAACTTCTCGCACGTTTGTACTCGAGCCATTTGCACATGGATGGAAAATCATTCATAAGAAACTGGCTTGATACACTCAAGATCAAGCTTACCCCTTTTTGCTGGGATCCACAAGCTTCAATATCCATGTAGCCATGAACCCAAAGAATTTTAAACATCCACGTAGTAGTTCCTCATCAAGTAATCCAACTTCAGAACAAGCCTTACCATTTTCAAGTTTCTGCCAATAAATACAAGAAATTAATGCTAAAGAGAGTCTTTCACACATTTATTATCAAACCACTGAAGCATTATACCCCCAAGAGACTACGATCTGAGTTATACTCTTGACACCCAAAATGAAGTACTGTAAACACTGGTGGATAAGCCACACCTTTTTACTCAAAATTTTCCTTAAACATTGGGGATGTGGCTTATCTGCAAGAACATCTGGACAACGTGCCATAAATTTGCATAAATAAACACTTTTCATCGAGACTTTATAAGCTTGTATAGCAAACTAATAAGAACTTCATAAAACTACTACTATCAGAGCTAATAACAGAGTATGTATTGATCATTGCTTTTTCACAAGTTTGGTCGTCCCTAAAACAGTCGTTTTTGTTCATAAACATAAGCTTATATTTCTTGCTGTTAAACGGCATTAAACCTTTGTTAAAAAATCTTTTAACCAGTTTAAGATCGCCATTCTAGAGCAGCTAAACGTCATGCAGCAGGGAATTTCCATTCTCCCAAAAACCTGTTTACATCATGGAACTGAGTTCAAAGCCATTTGTGTCCAGTACTATGTCTCCTGGTGAAATGCCTGGCTACATGTGCTAAGCTAAGAATGAACAAATGAAAGTGTTCTTCCAAGGTTGTTGTTAAATGAAAAATTCAATTAAAAACTGACAGGAATAAAAAAAAATTGGTTGAAAAATACCAGAGAAAGATCCAACACATGTCAAAGTCCGTAGACATAATGCCCATGCTATTGAGAACTAAAATTATAGGTAAGGGTTTCAGTTTGAAGTCAGTTCTCTGTTTTCAGTGTTTGTGAGTTTATGTGGGTTTACATTCAACAAATCAAGAAATGCACATGCAAAGAATCGTTCTAAGATTCCACTAGTGAATTATTTTGATATCTTTCCAAAAACTTGCTGGGATCTCCTGCCAACAAAATCAATACCATGTAATAACAAGAAATGTAAAAGCAATGAAGCAAACAATAAAATTGAAAATTGAATTGAATTGAAATTGAAAATTGAAAAACTTTTTTCCGAAATTTGAGTTGCCAGACTTGGGGGTGGCTTATCTGCGAGTGCAGCTTACCTGCAAGTGCAGCTTATCCCTTGGTGCTCATGGTAATCATTTTGTTATTGCACATTTGATTTTACTCCTCATTTTTAACTTTCACTATTCAAGTAGGACAAATAGAGAATTCAAAAGTATTCAAAATGAGACACTAGATGGATTAAGGTGACTCACTATAAAAGGGAAATGAACAAACATGGCCAGTTGCTAATCAAATAATTATAATGCAAACTAGTGCCTATGAAGTAAAAAATAATTCCTACTTATTTGAAAGGCTTTTTAAAGTAAAGAAGAATGGCGTTTTCCTTTTTGGAATATCTTTTTTCGTTTTAGAGATATTCATGTTTTTGTATTATGCAAACGAGGAAAGTGATGACGTCATAGGTGGTTCCTCTAAAACAGCACAATACTCAATCGAGAATATCCACCAAATATCCCCATTTGCAACCTTTTCAAGTGGGACAGAGGGTCTTGCTCGGAACACACATGGTTCCTATATTGTCTTAACTCTCCGCATTAGATTGGCGGGAGTGGATGATCCTTGTTTACGATAAAATCTGGGAATTTTAGTCTTAATTAAAACAGAGCCAGTGGCATAACTGTTGTCATGGCAATGGCACGACAGGTGTCATTATGTTTCTTTTGTGATGTACATTTCTGGTGCCAAGTTTAAAGAACACTGCTTTAATATTTCTAGAGTTATTCTCGATTGAGTGTTGTGCTGTTTTAGTGAAACCACCTATGACATCATCCCTTTCCTAACAAAAACGTAAATATCTCTAAAACGAAAAAAGATGTTCCAAAAAGGAAAGGGCATTCTTCTTTACTTTGAAAAGCCTTTCAAACAAGCAGGAATTATTTTTTACTTCATAGGCACTTTAAAGATTGGTGACTGATCGTGCCAGTGGCTATTTGAACAACATGAAGAAACTAGGAGTAACTGACAGTTTGATCAAGAATTCAGCATTCTAACCATAAGGCATGAACCTGTTCAAAGGTTACCTTGATCTGCTCTCTCCATTTCTTTAACAAGCCTTTGTTTCGTGAAGCCATAGGTGTTTCTATCCATTCACTCTCATGGGACTCTAAATGTTCAATCATGCGAGTTAGGTCACGATGAGCTCTTTGTCTGCGCAAATGCCTCCTGCAAGCTGGTAAAACCGCCAAATGATGGACTTGAATGGCCATAAAGAAACACTCAGTAGGAAATTTGGGCTCCAACCAGGCATTTTTACTATCTGTCAGAAATAAACAAAAATACTCTTCAGAGCATTATACAATTTGTTATGATAATATTGAATAATTAATTTTGTATTATATAATAAGTCAATAATTCTCGCATTTTGATTGGTTCTCACCTATGATCTATTAGAGGATAGACACAGATGACATCACTATAACAAATATTTTCCCTTTGTTTTTTTAAAATGACGGAAAGTTTTAAGAATTTAGATAATATTTGACACAACTAGGCGAAGAAAAATGTAGAAAAATGTCTTGTTGAGGTGGTGGAAAAGTACAAGAGCAGAGAGATGAAAGACAAAGACATTTCTCCCCAGAAAATGACACTATTGTCTTAAAAAATACTCGAGCAGTCTCAGTTGTGCACGACCAAACTAAACAAAATTGGTCTTGGAATGATTTCAAGGAATAAGAAACCATTACTTTGCCTTGAAAATGACATGACATGACATTAATTTATTTAAAAAATTCAACTTTTCTCAGTCTCAAAATAATTGTTTACACAGATTGCCAGGAAAGAAATATTACAACACCATGTCTTAAAATAAACACATAACCTTGCTTTCCGACATGAATGTTCCAGTTCATTTCAGGGCACAGCAGTTGGAAAAGTATAGCTCACAACAGCTCATGGCTGTCTGTATCTCAGCTAAACAATCTCAAAATTAATGCACTTGAGAATTACCAACCACAGAGGACACAAAATTTCTGCTGTCACTAATGTTCTTTTCATTCAAAGTTCGAATTGAATGGCCTCCAACATGTCGATGTTGACTGCAACTGCAAGTTTTCTGAGCGGCTTTTTCAACTCCTGCAATATTCGAGGCAACATCCGGGTTTTTTGGGCCCACAGGGGTGCTCTGATGATAAAAACTAACTTGACTTTTTCAGCATTTTGTATAAGATCTTGCAAAATTGCATTAAGATTCTGCTTTTGCTGTTAGTTTTCTGTTCCATGACAAGTGACACTTGATTGAAGTTTGACAGTGGCATGATTTCCCTGAACCGATCACAATACTTTTCCTTGCATAGCAACCAATGAGTCTGCTTCATTTTGTATAGAAAATAGATCATGTCAAATTGCTATTTTATTGTTGTGCTTGTCAAAGTGGGCAAAGGTCCATCTTTCAAGGCATGTTCAAAGATTTTGAAATAAACAGGCATTTTAGTATAGTTTTTTCTTTATCATATAGAACAAATAGGTTCCATGTTGCCATGCCTCTGTTCAGTAGTAGATCACAGAAGATGTCAAAATGTGGTAAGAACATCAGTGACACACTCAAACGGTAAATTACTTACTTATTCCTCTTCGTTCCTGATGGAACATAGGTCCTCAACTAGAACGCACCACCTAACCCTATTTTGTGCAGTGCACTTTGCCTCATTCTGGCCCTATACCTGTTGCATATGTAGTAATATGCATGTGTAATCAGATGCATCAGCACATTCTATCACATCGGCACGCACTATGTATGCATAATGAGTATGTATAATGTAGTTTCTTGAATAATAAATCATTCGATCATTTACACAGCAACGTGTAATATGGTGGCAGTGGGTTAAACCGTTCTAAAGCATTTTAAAGCATCATGGCTTCGCCTACCTCTCCATTCCCGTCTCTGAAAACGATGGGCGACGATAAACATGACATGGAAGTGTACATCGAAGATTTAGTGGATTATTGTGTTATGCAGAACNGTAGGAAGAAGACACCGATCAAAGATGCAGTATGACAAGAAGGCATCAACGCTACAGAGGGAGTTCTCACCAGGGGAGAAAGTATTTGTGAAGCCTAACCCCAAGAATAAACACAAACCATGGATTTACGGCGAAGTAGTCGGAAACCCAGCTCCAAGGGCTTGCCTGGTAAGCACCCCGTTGGGGCCCATTTGTCAAAACCACAGTCAGATCAGGAAAGCCCACATGAAGCCTGTTCACCACTATCAAGTGGAGCCGGCCGACTTGGAAACATCTTTACCTGGGGCAGACGACGTGCCAATGGAACAAAACCAACAGTCAACCCAACTGATCGCAGAACAAAACCAACAGACGGACCAAACAACTGTAGAGCAAAACCAACAGGCGGACCAGCCAAGGCCGGGGGCGCTGGATCTAGAACCTACACAACCGAGTGTCACGCAACGGAGATTGACAAGATGTAGAAATATGCCTGCTAGGTTTAAAGACTATGTTATGAACATTGTGCACTCTCTCAGACCAGTCAAATGACCATTAACATTGACCGAATGTCTCATGATCACTGTTATTTTACATTGTATATATTTTCTTTCCTGTTTCTTTTGTTTTGTTTCTTTCAAAAGGGGAAGGGTGTTGCACATGTAGTAATATGCACATGTAATCAGATGCATCATCACATTCTATCACATCGGCACTCACTATGTATGCATAATGAGTATGTATAATGTAGTTTCTTGAATAATAAATCATTTGATCATTTACACAGCAATGTGTAACATACCCACTTAGGGTTATGGTCAAAATCAATCAATCACTTTGCCTCATTCCACGCGAGGTGTTTCCTCTCCAACTCTGCCATTCTTGTACATCGTCAGGTGTGCTGGGGTCTCCCTCTCTTTCGCTTCCCCCTGTGGGTTCCACTCCAGTGCCCTCTTGACTACATGTCTATCTGGTCTCCTCAATGTGTGGCCGATCCAGCCCCAAGCTCTTTGTGTTATCTCTTGCTCTATTGGTTGCTGCCCTGTTTGTCTCCAAAGCTCCTTGTTGCTGATTTTTCTAGGCCACCAAATCTGCAAGATGTTCCTCAGGCTGTTATTGATGAACACTTGCAACTTCTGCTCCAATTCCTTAGTCAGCCTCCAAGTTTCAGAACCATACAAGAGCACCGCCTTCACATTTGACCTAAAGACTCTCAGCTTGGTCTTGGTTGTTAGTGCTGTGGATCGCCATATTGGTCTCAGCATCACAAATGCCTGTCTAGCCTTTCCAATTCGTCCCTGAGTGTCCTCATCAGTACCTCCCTTCTTGCTTACAATGCTCCCAAGGTATGTGAACTCATCCACTTCCTCAATCCACCCCCCTGCAACCATCACACCATCGCCACGTTTGGTACCAATACACCACAACTTTGTCTTGGTGGCATTGATCTTCAGGCCTACCTTCGCACCTTGCACCTGCAAGGCCCGTGTCTTATCCCTCATATCTTGAATTCTGTGCAATAGTAGGGCCAGATCATTGGCAAAGTCAAGATATTTAAGGATGTCGTAAAGGTCCACTGAATACCTCTCTTCCTGTCAAAGGCTGTCCTTGTCACCCAGTCCAGGGCGACCAGAAACAGCACGGTAGAAACAGTAACAGGGAAAGATAATTATTTGAAAAAATCAGAACAATACATAATAGGTGTGTCACGACAATTGGGAAGCTATGGCTAATTACGTGATGACATTTTTCAGCAAAAGTTTCCTAGAATGTCTTCAGCATGATATAAGCTCATTTCTGTTGTTTGGGATTAAAATATTATGAAATATTTCTCCCAAAAACACAAATTACATTTCCTTGTAACGTTTGAATAAGATCTAGCCTCCTTTATCCTATACCATTTGATGTTGAACTCAACGTTCTGGTCCTTCAGGCTCCATATATGCTTGCTACCCTCAGTTGCACTTCTATACTTTTTGCTTCAAAATGAGCATATATGATTTCTATATCTTAATTTAAATGGGGTGTCACAAAGTCCGATGTATGTCTCTTCAGTTGTTTGTATAGTGACTTCAGTCTGGTGTAATTATTATACTTTCAATGTTACAGTTGCCATCCATGGGGCACATGTCTGGTTTCCGGCAGCTACAATTTTTCTTATGTTCTTCGAGATTTGTAGAATTGCTGATTACAGCTTTGTTGTGGCTGGATATAATTGTTTTGACGTTATTTATGCCGCTGTAGCTTAATATAAGAGTGTTCCAATTGAAAATTTTATGCAGTGGGTTAGACTTTGGGAAGTACTGATCAATAAGGGAGATGAAGCATTTTCCAACATTTTTTTCCACATTCCTGCTGTGTGGTGGGTTGTACCACACTATATTTCTCTGTCTGTTTTCCATGGCTGGGGTGTCTGGCTGTAGTGGGACACTTAGTGACAATTACGCAACATACCGTATAGTCTTGAAACTGGTCGAAACCGGTCTTAGAAAAGAAAACATGTTGTCCAAGGTCGAAGCTAAGTTGTTTACTGTTATCTTTGCTCCACTTCAATAAACCTCAGAAGTACTGTTTACTTGCCTTGAACCTCATCCTGGTCCAGCTACAAGTGGTGGAGAGCCCGTTTCAAATATGCCTACCACTATCAAGGAAATTCAAGGCGTCGTTGCCAGTTTAAGCGAAGTTGTCAAGGGATTAGTTGGCGCCATTCAAGCCGCTCACACTGCACAAACAACCGGGTCACAGGCTACTCTGCCTGAAAATCCTGCTGTTCCTTCTACACACGTAGCCAGCCTTTGCCTACCAACACTCCAGTTACCTACATTCCGTCAGGAAACGAAAGTTCAGGATGATATTGCTGATCTTCTTGATCATTTTCACAAACAGACAGCTCAAATTCCTGTCACTGTTCGCCTGTCGCTCCTTGAGCAGCAATGTATTGGTGAGTGGCCATGCTAAGCGCTGTCGTTTTGTCGTAGCACCGAAGATTTCACTGAGAAAACCCCACAGGAGCAGTTGGAGTGTTTTGTCACGAGTTTACGCAAAGAATTTCAAGAACCTGCTGACTTGAAATGCCGCTGCCTGGCTTCTGAATTGAGTGCCATGAAACAAGATCCTTCGGAATCAGTTGATGAATTTGCTTTCAAATACAAGAACATCCTTCACCAACTCGACAAACTGGGTAAAAGTCTCAATAAATCCTGTCCAACGTGTTTAACTCCAGTTTATTTCCAAGCTACAACCGCATATCACACGTCCTCTGGTTCTTCAAGTGCAGAATGTAGCTCAGCTTGAAAAAGCCATCAAAGCCGCTCAATGGATCGAGCATTCATTCATTACTAGCGAGTTGCCTACGCCTTCCCAACAAGATTCTTCGTCAACATCAACAGTTTCTCATGAAATCCCCCAGTGTACAGTCCTTGTCAACACTTCTGAGCAATTTTGCAGCGACAATCGGCCTTCTCAGGAGCAAAGATCTTGTTGGCTCTGCAGTCACACACAACACTCAGCTCATGATTGTCTTTGCTGTTCACCTAAGAAGAATAAGAAACCGCCAGAAATATGCTGCAACTTTAACAGACTTCTCTCTGAGAGCTGCAAGAAAGCCAATAACAAGTGTTCAGCTGGAAGACTTCACGAATGTTTTCAGTGTCACCAATGGGGATGCAAAGCTTTATGTCACAAAATCGTGCCAACTCAGTCTCTGATAGCGGGAATTCCTCCCTCCAATGAACCTTCTGATGTTGAACTGTCACCCACCACTCAGCAACACACTGTATTTGGCTTACCAGCTGTTGCCAACCCGGGTGGTACACTCAAAGAGTGCCATATCCTCCGGACTCCCATTGTCTCTGCTGGAGAGAAGCCTCCTTTACCTCTTGACAAATGCTGTTCAGTGTCTCTTGTTAGCCGTTCCCAGGCTGACCTTGTTGACTCTAAGCACCCTCAGTTGAAGTATGAGTCACTTGAAAAACCAGTTGCTGTCTCTGTTGCTGATGCAAAGGCTCAGCTGCAAGCTGTTGGCACAATGGAAATTCCCATACAGTGGAACAATGGCAAAGAAACAACATTTCAGATGCTATTAGTTCCTGGTCTTTCTTGGCCCATTCTTTTTGGGGAGAACCATTTGCACTCTACACAGGCCTTGGTGGATCATGCTGACCCTAGCATCCACTTTTGACATCCTGGCATGTCCTTCAAAATCACCTGTTCTCTTCAGAATCCTCTTCCAGAAGCATCTCATCGTGGTAGCAACACCCATGCAGGCGTCACCTGTCTACTCACAGGAGCTCCATTGCCAGGCCATTCACCAGGACCTTCAAAACTAAATCGTGGACTGAATTTTGTCTCTGTTTACCTCACCCTGGGTACATCACTGCTGTCACTCTCACACTCAGATCTATGGGTTCATGGTCAAGAAATTCAGCCTGGTGTTAGAATTTTAAGTGGTCCATTTCAGCTGACAGCTGCCACTGATCAACTTCTTCCTGTTGTTTCCTACCATGCATCAGTCTGCGATCTCACATCAAGTTCAACCGAAACCATTAGTGAACATGTCATCTCTGACTTTCAGTCCCTGTATACTATTACCCTAGCAGTTGAGTGCAAACGTAAACGGACAGATATCCCACAAAATGTTATTCTTGAACATCTTTGACCAATTCAGGATGAAGACTTGCAAGTTTATGAAGATGCAGCAGAGAATACTGCAAACATTCTTTCAGAAAGCTGGATGTGCTGGGCTAATGGACAGGCAGCCATATCACCCACTGATGGTGAACCATGTGCAGACATCCGCCCTGATACTGAGCAAAAACAACCCTTACAGAATGCCACACCCTCATTGCAAGAACATAATGTAGTTTAACCTCGGTCTAATGCATTAAGTCCAGATTTAAACAAAGGCGCACTTTCATTTGAACAATATCTTAGCTCATTGTCAAAACCTCAGTGTTTTGCTTCTGAGGCATGTAAAGCAGTTTACCAACGTTTACCAGATGCTAGAGACATTCTTGACCGACATGGAAAACTGAAAGGACTTGTTACCAAATGACCTTTCTTATCACTGAAAGGTGGACCTCATGGGGGTAATTACCTCGTCTTAGATGTCAAGCTGTTTCAAGAACTGAACAAGTAAACCCTCCAAGAAGGGGTGGACTCATGAGCAAACTTAAAGTTTTCTTTTCGTTTAAATTATTACATGAATCATTTGTTTCCGTTGTTCCAGTTATAAACTTAAAACCCAAGAAGGGGTGGACTGTAGAGCAAGAGTGCTTAATAGTTAATAGAATAATAGTTAACACTTAGGCTCAAACCCAGCAGTTCTCCTTGAGGACACAATGTGACTTAAAAATTATACATGAAGTACCTAAATCCTGCTTCCATTCTGCAACTTCTTGTGAAGTGAGTTTCAGCCTGGACTCTTGAGATATATCTATTCTTGATTTGGGATGATGGAAATACAGACTGTCCACCTGTTTATCAATTAGAACTTACACAGATCAAAACAACACTGCTTTCTTACCACCTGAATCTCTTAATAAAAAAACATGTGCAAAGTTTGAATCCAGAATTATTTTAGGAGTGATTACCAGTAAATTGCCCTGTAAGAGAGTTTCCTTTCTTTTCCCGCTCAGTGAAAGACAAGAGGGAACCTCTACTTGTAACTGCTTGACTTCCTTTCATGCATCCTTACATAATAATTAAATGAATGCCCATGCTCTGATTGGTCAATCAGCTATGGTTATTGTGCCAGTAAACTCATGGAAATTTCGCATGTCTGAATTATTATATAAAAGCAATAGACCACAAGTTTCTATGGTTTAGAGGCAAGTTAACCCACTTGGGATGTTGGAAGAACACTCAAAGAATACGTAAATCACTCGCCTGCTGCTCGTGATTTACGAATTCTTCTCCTGTTCTTCCGACATCTTGCATGGTTTATCAGCCTATAAACCATCAAAACTTGTGGTCTATTGCTTAAATAAACTATGTCAGCATATTGCATGCCGTGCTTTCTCATGCAAAACTTTGTACATGCAATCAGATTTTGAGCTGTTTTCTTGGCAATAACAACTAATTACTTGAATTCAGACCTTTTGACCATTGCTTTGTTACAGAAAATTAAATAATCTAGAATTGTACTAAAGTTCTACAAAACAATGAATGACAAAGAAACAGAAGAATTGAACCAAATTTAACTTCATTCAAGACTATGCTATCTAGCATAGCATTTTGCAAATTGCAAGCTGGGTGCAGATAAACAAATTAAACAGTTTTCAAATAATATTAAAAATGTTAACTTAATAACCTGCTTATCAAAACTCTTGTCAAGCTCTGTTGGCATTAAGTAGCTCGAAAGCGTGGATTAATGTACAGCAATAGTTGCTGGAAGGAACTGAGCAACTAGCAAAATATCAAAAATTGCCAGTCATTCACTGGACAAAGTTTGAAGTTTTTTGACAAACCCATTTAAGTGCAAAATTGCCAGTTGCAACTTTGTAACCAATCACAATGCACTGAATATTGTCAACAGTCTCATAAATGGACAGCATGAACAGCATTTTGAATCCTTCATTTATACCATACCACAGAAACTACGGCCAATCAGAATAACGATTACAGGAAAGCCATTGGATATTTGACAGTATTACACCCAACCTTCCTATCATGCGCCGCGTGTATGCAGCATTGATTGTGTTGGCCACTGTATTTTCTGTGGTGTGGTATAAAATAGTTATGCAACACTCTCATGGTATACCATGGAATATCCACCTTGTCACTTGTATTTTCCTGGTATACACACACTAAACACTCACCTAAAGGCTCATGTGTATACCAAGGAAATACATTCAAGTGACTCATAGGACATTCCAAGGTATACCACTCAAAAACATTACATCACTAGTATGTATATCATGTATACCATTTTGAACTAGTTAAAACTTGTCAAAAACCAGTAATTTTTAATTTATTTGCACCTGATTGTGGATGGCAGCTGATCAAACTACTGTGTGTATATAAGGAAAGGGTTCCCTCTTGTCTCTCACTGAGCAGAAAAACAAGAGAATACCTAACCCATATGATAAGTTAGTAACACACGAAAGTTCCAAAATTGAATTTTTTGATTACATGTAGTTTGCTTCACCAGAAGCCTCTTCAATTGAAGAAAAATATAAAAAGTTACCTTTGTAAATGTAGCTCAATAAGTATTCACACCTCAATGTAGACATCTATGTCTTGGGAAAATAGCCCATAAAATTGGTAAAATACATTGTATGCAGAGTATAAACAAACCTGTCTACATAGGAGTGATGACAAATGCAATGCACACTGCCACTCCTTGTATACACAGTGATCAAACGTTTTTCTTTACCTTCTCAACTTTTACTTTTGCACATAGCTGCTGCAACACTGTCATGAAGTTCAACATAAATCCATCCGAGGCAACTTGTCTATCGTCAACCTAAATAAATCAACATTTACAATCATGGACAAATTGTGTTGGAAAATGCCAAAAACATGAAATCATAATCGTAACACCTACAGAATAAGTGTCAGAACCCCTATTCCTCCTTTCAAAGTTGGAAAATGGCAAAATGCAAATTTGTGTTGGATGAAAGTGTTTTGTCAACATTGCACAGGGGTGGGGAGGAGCAAAATGTGTATAGAATGATTTTTTTCCAACTCTTGTGACCAAGGTTGTGGCTTGTCATGTCATTAAAGGTGGCTCAAAACAGTTTCCAGCATGTAGATTTTGATGGGTCATTATGACCACTCTTATCACTTGATGCTGAAATCAAGGTATCAAAAAGCTGCCCAATCATTGGTGAAAAGTGAACCCTTGGAGCTGACTGGCTCATAGCTGCCGGAGCTTAACCCAGATTCTGTAGCATGAAGCAGCTAGGAGTATTTCTACTCCCCCTGGATGGGATGCTAGTCCATCACAGGTCACTCCCCCGCAATTTGTTAGGTTTCCCCAACAATTCGCTGGTACCCAGTTATACTCCTGGGTGGAGAGAGGCATTGTGAGAGTTAAGTGTCTTGCCCAAGAACACAATACAGTATCCCTGGCCAGGGCTTCAACCAGACTGCTTGATCCAGGAACAAGCGCACTAAATTTTTAAGACACAATAGGTTACCATAGCAACAGTATGACCTGCTAAAAGCACCCTTTATTACAGCTTTTGGGACTTATAATATGAAAATAGCAAGGTAAAAGTTTTTTATATCACCAAATTTTAATAAGTATGATAAAGACGCTAGGGTTCAGAGCCACCTTACAGTTTTGAAAATTTAAGGTGGCGCTGAACCCTATATACAGAAGTTTTTAAACTTTGCCAAAAGTTGCATCTTATCATGCTTATCAAAATTTGATAATACCAAAAAATTTCACAGTACCGTTTTTGAATTATAAGACACTAAAGCTGTAATTAAGGGTGATTTTAGCAGGTCGTATTGTTGCTATGGTAACCTATTGTGTCACGAAAATGATAACACTGTGTTCACCAATGATTGGGCAGTTTTTGGATACCATGATTGTAGGATCAAATGATAAATAGTAGTTAATAACGACACATCAAAATCTGTGCTGGAAACCTTTTTGAGCCACCTTAAATATGCTTTAAATATGTGTTAAATATGCTTTACAATGCAAAATAGCATTGTAAACTAGTGAGACAATCTCAGATAGTGCAGAGTGCAATTGATAGCTCTGGCATGGTAGTCACACAGGTCCCAGAACCCCTGCCCTGTTCACTCCCGGTTTGTAATTTCCCCTTGCAGAATATGAACAGACAGAAACCTTCATAACACACAATCTTAACAGCGTGTTTGTTTCATTTGTGTGCAGTATTTTAATTCATGGTCCAAAAATAACTTACAATTACTATTTACTCTAGTGTTTCACATAGTTTCCATTCATAATTCTTAAGAGTGCCTGCCTGTAAAAATCAGACTAATTCTTAATTACGTGGCAAGGGTCGAAAATTTGATTTCGCTCATATTTTCATGATAGATAGGCTAGGGCATGACAAAAACTACTGGATAGTTTTTTTGGCAANAATATTTTTGAGGCGGTGGACATTATATCAAACTTTGCTGTGTTAGAAGACTGGTTTTGAAATACATTCACGGAACGTTCACGAATTTCAGCCAGGTATTTACTTCGCGCGTCTTTGTCGGGCTCCCAAACACGCGTGAAAAAGTTACTGCTTTGGATCATAAACTGACAGTTCTTTAGTGAAATTCGAGCGAAATGGCCTTAACAAGGTCGCTGATTGATGGTTCACGGAACCGATCCCGATGTTATTCTATATCAGTTTAATTTTCTCAGTATTGGCCCATAGGAATTGTCCAGACTTAAGATATGTTACAATTTTTAATGTATCTAACGCATAGCCGAAATGAAATCTTATTTTAATGATTTAGAAGGGATCTTAAATCAAATTCTCAATTCAAAATTCGCGCTTTTTGCGCCTGGGCCAATCAAAACATTCAGATTTAATGTGATTATGGGGATTAGTGCCTGAAACGTAACTGACGCTATTGCACTAGTCTATTGTTCTTTTGCCTAGTTCTTACGCAGATCATTACTTAAAATGTATGCAAAAAAGCTTGGCTTTTCCTAGCCATGTCTGTAGGAGTTTATTTGTTGAACAGCAAACAGGCAGACTGTTTATAGTGTATGAAGTCAAAATCAAATCCCTCAGCATATAGAGCAGAAATCTGGGAACAGATTGTTTACATCAGTTATTGTGACATGAACACAAGACGTGAATTGACTGAGCGTCAAACGAAATACCACTGAACAAAAAAGAGGTGTGCCGCATTAGAGTTCTGTCAACTAATATCTTAAGCATTGCTTTAAAGTACCTTGTATGCCTGCCTGGTGGTTGAGAGCCGTCATAAAGCCTTGATCAACCTGTAAGTCATCAGCACATTTTAAAGAACCAAAATGTGTTCTGAAACTTCGAAGGCAGCTGGTATACCGTAATCATGTTACGGCATTCGAAGTCAGATCAAGCCAGGCAGCAAAGTCCAAGAGCAGTTCTTGCCCAAGAAAAATACCCTGCGGTGAGTTGTGGCCCATTTACCAAGCATTGCTAGCATCAAAGTTTGGAAAGCGAGAACTGGTTTTAGACTTATAAAATTTGTCTTGTATCGACCGCCATGTTTTCCCACGCACGAGGTGTAAAGACCCTTCCTGGCATGCATTGCCATCATGTTCTGCGGACGTTTCTCGAACTGGTAACTACATTGTTTTTCCTTTTTCATTTAAACACAATAATGGCCAACAAGTAGCAATCGATTGTAACGTAGATCTGTGGTCCAGGTTGCATTGATTTTATTTCAAATCGGCGTGATTTGTAGTGTTTTGAGCTTCTGGGATCAGCAGACATGCAGATGAATGGAGACTTGTACGTTGCGCAGAAGGGTTAATCTGTTAATCTGTCAGCCCTATTTATAGAGCGTTTTCACATGAAGTCATCAAATTCTTAAATCCAAAACTAAACGGCCACCGAAGTTGTTATCCTCATCAGGCATAAGAGGTACCAGCGCATTTTGAAATTCGAAGTTATGGTGGTGCATGACATAAAGCTACGATTGCGTTTGTCAAAAACTATGTATTTATCTCGTGATTCTTAGCTATTTAAGATGTTGCCGTATTCGTAAAATTGCTTATTGAAATTTTTATTTGTTTTATTTTATTTTTATTTAGACCTTTTTTGACCTGAAATCAACATTTTTGAGTTTATACGTTGTGTGAAATTACCATTTTCAGGAGCCCATCATGGGCTCCTGCCATTTTGCTGTTTTCTAAGTGAAACCAACATCCTTGCCACCACGTGTTAATGTCAAATCAACATTTTGACCTATTTAGACCTGAAATCAACATCATTGAGCTTATATGTTGCGCAAAATTACCATTTTGCTGTTTTCTAAGTGAAATCAACATCCTTGCTGTCACGCGTTAATATGAAATCAACCTTTTAACTGCTTTTGACCTGAAATTAATATTTTTCTAAGGTTACGCCTTGTGAGAAAAATCAACATTTTGTTGTATTTTGAGTGAAATGAACATTATTGTGGTCACGCCCTGACGTGACAACAAATAAAAGTTTTTTGCACATGTAATGTCTCAGAAACAATGCAAACTTCAGCAAAAACACATACAGAACATTGTTTATCACACCTAAGAAATAATGCATGCGAAATTTGGAGCTTTTTTGACAAAGTTCACTTTTGAGCAAAATACCCAATGCCCATTTTCGACCGAGCCCCTCCCATAAAAGAAACTGGACTTTGTTATAATAAACCGTGCCGATCCTTTGTTATGAATCCTTAGTTATAATAAACCAAGGTGAGACTTTGACGTATAACAAAGGCTCGCATTGGTTTATTATAACAAAGGATCGGCTCGGTTTATCATAACAAAGGCCATGGCTTTGTTTATCTGAAGGGCTCAGCTGAAAAAGAGCGTTAGGTATTTTTCTCAAAAGTGAACTTTGTCGAAAACGCTCCAAATTTCGCATGTAGTTTTGTTTAGGTATGTTTAGCAATGTCCCATAGTTTTTCCACTAAACTTTGCTTCATTTTCGAGATATTGCGTATGCAAAAAAACACTGGGTTTTCCTATCGGCGTCTTTATAAAGTGAAGCAAAAACCAGCAGCAAAAATACAGGACCACATTTTTCTATTACATTGAAGACCACATGCAACAATTCAAGCCCTTTCGCATAAAACTTTTTGTCACCCAAATCGTCACTTAGCAACGTCTGCGAACCCGAGCCAGAAAAGGATTTCTGTGACGTAGGAATTCTAAGCCAATGACAGTTTAGCTCAAATAACCCCAGAACTACTGCGCAAGGTATTCGCTGTGAGGAGCACTCGAGTTTCATTCTATCGTGGAATCTGATTGGCCAAAGAGGAAGAAAAGTCATTACGTCACAAAATCGTTTCCTGGCTCGGGTTCGCAGATGTTATTTTTCGGCGAAACCAAGTGACAGCCGGAAATACTCTACGTTCGCAGGCTAGGTTTTGCACTCACCTCTTCAATTATCGAATACTCTTAGAATACCACTTTCTTATTCTGCTTCCACCTTTGTGGTTAACAGTAAAACCATTCAAAAGTAAAACACTATGACACTGATTAATACAACTGAGAAGTGATTCAATGAGAAGTATTGAAGGTAAACAGTGCTAATTAGCCAAGATTATATCCTACATTGGTGAACGCTTCCCCTTTTAAGTTTGATTTCATTAATTTACGATTTCATTAGGTGCCACAGAGTCTGCAGCAACATTTAAGCACTTTCCTGGTTTCTTTCGTCACAAATTTACAATTTGACAAGTTGTAATGCCACTAACTCAGGAAATTTGTGGTCCCTCTTATAGAGACAATAATAATTACTATTAAAGGAAGAAATCAACAAGCCTCTAAAGAGAAGCAATGCGTTCCCCTTGTTTATCTGACCCTGATAAACACACTTTTGCAGTTTGAAAACAGCAGATGATATTTGTTGAACCGGCCTATGGGTAATTCCAAAAGACACAAAGTCACAGTAGCACTTTTTCCCTTAGAAGGCAGAAGTGGCCCTACCCGAAGGATAACAGCCACCCTCAGCCACATCACATGACATAATTATAAAAAACTGCATGGCTTTGGGGATGAAAATAGAGTGTATAGCCCTAACGATGCTAGAACGCACATGTCTTACATGTGGGGTTCTACCACAAGGAAAAGCACTAATGTTTGCATCTTTCACCGAATGTATAGTCGACATGAGTGGAAACTAATCTCCGCATGCGTTTAGAGCAAATTGGTTTTGTTCCAAAGAGAATAGTACCACAAGGAGAGCAAGGCTTTTTCTGAAACAAATATATAGCTTTGATGTTTTCAATGAATGGAGGTAATTGTAACATGTTTTACGTACCCACCCCACCCTCTTGCCAAACATTAAAGTTTAAGACACCTTTACACCTCAACACGTTACCACAGTATCACATTATTGCTTTAGCAGAAAGCAGCCCCCAAAACCATCCCAATAGTACATTTTGCACTAGAAATAACGCAAAGTTCAAACCTGACTGACCTGCAGATGTGCTTTGCGTTGATTTCTTTGCAAAACTGTAGCCATGAATTTCAGACAGGCATCACGACTCTCCGTAGACACAAGCATACTGTGAATTATCTTGAAAACTTCTGCCTATTTGTACCAAACATATTCTTACATTGCAAAGCAATTTCAAAGCTAACAGTTTATAACACTAACATATTAAATGTAGAAATGGAGACTTAACAATCCAAAAAGATTGGGGGTAGGAAGTTAAGGTATCATGGTAGGTAAATTAACAGTGTTTGGAAATCGCGCTCTTGCGCTGGCGCTTTGAAAGAAAACCCCATCAACCTATACATTTTCTGAAAGCTAAATAGTTATGGAATACAATCATATCTTTGAAATTTTCTAAAAGGTTATTGTCGCAGTGATATTGGAAGCAGAAACACTGCTTCGCTTAAACTGGTGTGCTTCATCACATGAATTATCTGAGCGGCTCGATTAACATTGGAAATTTTTTCTCACACATCGACCTAAAAAAGCATGTAGGCAATTTTCCAGATGAGGTTTGGTTTTTTTTCTACACCCTCCTAAAGTTTGATATTTTCAATACAGTTGTTTCCTTCTACTTAAGAGGCCATAACTTTGAATCAGAAGCGAAATTAAACAAAGCCCTACACCCTTTTTTTCGAAGGAGGTATCCTGGAACATACCTTCTGATTTTCAGCCAATTCCATTGGAAGACGGGTGTGAATGAACTAAAAATGTTCATCCTTTATGCAGTTTTATTTTATCGAGAAAAAGCTGAAAAGCTTTTATGAGATTAGTATGATTAGGTGTTAAAATTTCCCTCCGCACTGACAGATGTCGGCATGGGTCAGTTTACCACAACAATGGCTTATGACAACTTGAAATAAACAGACGTCTACAATTCTGTCGCAGTGAAATCGTCCAAGAAGCGACAAACTAACAAGAACTTTATGCAGGTTTGTATTTAAACTGCTGTGATTTCTTTTACTTATAAGATTTTGTCGACAGCATTGGTATTATGTTGCTCAAGGTTAGGCTTCTTCGTTCACCAGACATTTTTTGAAATCATGCCTCATGACAACAACAAAAGCTAATTGCGATGATACAACCAGATCGAGAACACAATACACATTGCACATGAATTTTAATTAGAGAGGTTAACGAGATTTAAAAATAGTTTTTTCTTTACCTTAAAAAGTAAAAAGCTTTTTTCCCATTCTTTTTGCAAAATATTCTTGGGTTTCCGGTGATGTCATAAGTTTTTCGCAAATCAGTGTCCGACATATTGGTGTCTCTTGAGGTGTCAAATTTATGTAAATAATAAGCCATTTCGGTGGCAAACCTCTTGCTTTCTCAACCAATATTTTGATTTTTAGATGGATGTTTCAAAAAACAAAAATGAAAATACGGTAGTATCGATGATGCATCTAAATGCAACCCAGTGCTCTCTGAGTGTGCCAAAGCCCTAGAGGGTTGAGTAAAGGAGACATATCTGCAGAAGATCTTGGTCATTGGAGTTGACCCTGCAAGTATACCGATGGACCAGTTTAGTCCGCAATGCTTGCCTCCAGTTAAAGTCTTGGACTTGCTAAGCTATCTTGTACTTGAGACTAGTTACTATACAAACCAACAGTTCAAGGCTTTGAAGAGTCTAGAGGCATTCAACCAAATTGTTTTGGGATTTGTGACCTCAGTTGTGGGCACACTAATCGCTGGAAAATATGTTTTAAGAGCACATGTGCGACACTCACAGCAGATGAATGATCCTTTGGTGAACATTTGGATTATTACCAAACAGGATGGGACTGTTTTGTTTAGGATGCAAAAGCTGGACTAGCAGAATCATGCTCACATATCGTAAGTGTTTTATTTTATTTGGAGGCCACTACATGACTTCATGGCAAGCTTGCTTGTACTCAAGTAAAATGTTCATGGATCTTACTACGTATGTGAATGAAATGCCGCATGTGACCAGAAAATCAATCATCTGGATAATCTACAGCAGCCAGCAATCTCGAGCCAACCAGAAGCTTTACATAACAGTCGGGTTTCTAGTTCAGAAGCTGTTTCTGCCTCAGCTAATTTGCGTCCTTCAAAGGAGGAAATCGATCAGCTGTACATAAAACTAAATAATATAAAATCAAAGTAGTAGCTTTAAGTTTGATTTCTCCCTTTGCTGATCAATTCTTCAACTAAAGCCGTGCCATCCCGGTAGTTTCAGAATCGTTTCACACTGAAAATTTAAGTCTTGGCTACAAGGAACTTTTGCAAAAATGCATTGAAGTACAATTAAACTATTCTGAAGACCAAATCAAACTAGTTGAGAAGAACACCCAAGCTCAGTTGAAGGGTGCTGGCTTCTTTAAGCATCGTGCTGGACGAATTGGGGCTTCTGTAAACGGTGCTGTTTCTCACGCCAATTTATCACAACCATCACAGAGCCTCATTAAGACAATCTGTTACCCTAGTCTTAACAAGATAAACACCAAAGCAATAAGGCATGACTGTAAACATGAAGGTGCTGCTATTAAGGCTTATGAAACAGTTATGAAAAAGAGCCATGTGAACTTTCGAGTCAAAAAGTGTGGGTTGTTCATAAATAAAGACTACCCATTTCTACATGCCACACCCTTTTGTATCCATGATGCAAATTTTGAAGAGTATGTTAGACTCAAGGACTCTTGTTTGGTTTTCAAACTTAAGAGGGAAAATAATTATTATCATCAAACTCAGCAGCAGTTATTCACTCTGAAAGATAGTAGACACAATGACTTTGTTGTATATGCTGTCGACCAGAACGGAAATGCACACTGGTGATGGAAAGAATCCTACGCGATGAGCAGCATTGGACAAAAGTTCTTCCAAAACTGGAGGCATTCTGGTGAATCTGTGCTCTACCTGAAGTGCTGGGATGCTGGTACACAAGGTGATGCATGGTAGAAGTGAAAGGGCCTGCTGACAGCAGCATATGTTTTTGTAGAACATTGTGTGACGGGGACACAGTTGCATGCAGTAATGAGGAATGCCCATATGGCAGGTTTCACACATCATGATTGTCCCTTGGTGATGTTACCATCCCAAAAAATGGTACAGGTACTGCTCTCACCGCTCTAGATTACCACAGTTTAAGGTGGCTTACTACAGTTTCGATGGATTATAACAGCCCAACTTCTAACTCTTTTCAAAAATGTTCCAAGATGTTTTTCCTTTCTCTATTTACTGTTTGCCTAAGTCTTTTACCATTCTCTGTGAAACTTGAACAATTAAACGTCAACAAATTCCCAATATGAATGACCGAGTACCTGAGAAGAGACTCGGCACTGGTAGGTTAAGTTACATTTTTCTCAAAATCTACCTGTATGACCCCACCGCAAAATTTCAGGAATAAAAAATTGGCTCTGATCTAACATTCTTGGAAAGTAAAATAAAAATCTGTAAGACAGATTTTTCGCAAACTAAGAAAATGTGAGATTAAAAATAGCTCAAAATCTGCCTCAGATTTTTTTAAAATTTTGGCTCTAAACGTGATTCACCTCAACAAATCAACTGTGAAAATTTCATCATGGTTGTACAGTAGGTTTTTGAGCAATTCTCAATCAAAGACTAGCTTTTACAACCTCGGACAAGAACTGAATTGTGCATGCCCTTTGTTTCAGTTTGACACTATTGCTACTTATACCGAAGTGATTTAATGCCTTCCAAGTGTTGAAGCGGTTTTTGTTTCTTCTTAGGGTTATTTACATCATTTTTGCACGCATGATAATACTGACGTCTGGTAAGCAATCGTCGCATGCGATACTGATTCTCAGAAAAACTGTAGTAAGCCACCTTAAGAGATATTCCAGGAAGCAATCTGGTGTCAAGATTAAAGCCAAAGCTAAGGCATCAACCTTGACTCATGCTTCCTAATTGTGTGACACTATTTGCATCTGCAAAGTTAAAGCTACAATGGCAGACAGGCTTGTGGAATGCAATGGCCCTTACTGTACAAATGGCAAGTTTTTTCACTTACAATGCTTAGGGTTAAAGAGAATGCCAACAAATCACAAGACCACCTAGGGATGCTATATAAGCTGCACAACAAGGAAGACCAATATTCCACCACCCCAAGCCTCTGACACATATGATATAGTTCCTTGAGGTGTGATGCCAATTGAAGGCTTTCGTGCAAAAAGGGTGCTTATAGCACTTTGGGCTGATTTTTTTGCAGGATTGAGCTAATTTTTGGCAGACTGACTTGTTTTGACATGAAAAGCATCATTGCGTAATTGTTTTTGTTGATTTGCGCTTCGTTCTCAAGAAATAACGTGTGCAAAAAACTCAGTTTTCCAAGGGTATCTTTTGGAGATCTTTTGTTGAATGAAAAACAAAAGAAACCTTTTGTTTTGCTAAACGATGAAGTAACTGAAGCATGGCATTTGCTGCTAGTTTTATTATTCATATAATTATGCTATTTTCTTACTGTTGCTTTGTTAGCGCAAGCGAATAAGGCACTGAACGGGCCAGATTCGAGTTTGTTCTGTCATGACACCAGTTCGATACGAGGTCGGTTGATTTTTTTTCCGGTCTATTTCTCTACTTCCTTCAAAAATAAAAACATCTATTTAAAAAAACCGTGCTGTCGAAACTTCTAAAAGTAACTGCTGGAGCTTCGTATCCCCTTTGATGAAACATGTACCTGAATTTTTCAGTCTGACAACTTGCATTGTGGGATGGTGATTTGTTATTCGTTTTGATATTTTGATCAGCTATCTCAGTAGAAACATCGCTTTTTGCCTTGGTAGCCACTGAGGCTTCCAAATTTGGACTAAAGTCGTTGACTTCTGTCGATGCTTCTGCTTGACCCTGATCGGCCTGACCCTCTATAAGTTCTGTCGATAATGCTTCAAATACTGATGAACAGGGCTCACCAGAATTATCAAAGTTTATTTCACTGATGCATAGACCACTTGCGTTTAAGCGCTTTCACTTTTCTGCCGCTTCAAGTTCAGCTTGCTCAATCGCTTGCTGTCATCTTTTCTTTGCCCGTTCAGCTTTTTCAACCACTTGCTTGAAGTCTTTCTCTACATATTTTTTCTTCCCAAGATTGAGAGTTGGCACCCAGTCAACATGAAATTGGTCCCAGACAGGAAATGGTTCTCTGAAGACGACATGTTTGCTACAAACATGCTCACTTTCTAGCACATTCATACCTGTGCCACCTGTAACCGCCTGTGCATTTCCCAGTGCTGCCTGTAACCGCCCGAAAAAAAGCACTTGGGGACAAAGAAGAAGTTTTTCTTCCTACAACCGCAGCTAAAACATGAAGATTGGAGCTCTTTCAAGTAAGTTTTGATGACAGATTGCAGATTTAAAGCAGCTTCTCGGACTTAAGAAACAAAAATGGTAATGTACATTATTACTTCAAAGTTGAATTCAACTTTTGGAACAATTTGTAAAGCCACGGGCATTAAAATGACTGCAAAAGCAGTCGGCAAAAACTCAAGCTTTCGCATTAGCGATTATGCAGCGAAGCACATCTGCAAAATTTTGAACAATTTTTCACTTTTAAATAGGTTTCTTCGCCTCAGCTTGAATGAAAATTTATTGTTATTGAACTTCCTTTCACATGTCTTTCAATTTTGGTCCCTGTAGAAGTTTAGGTTTTAAAAGTGAACAGTAACTGGCACGCTGGATTTCTGCATATTTAATTTACTGAGAAAAGAACTAAATGGCCACTAATTTAACACAGTTGAAATATGACTGATCTCCAAATAATTGGCTAGTTTTTGTCATCTTTTTGATTTACGACTTTCATCTTTCTTTTGCAGCACTGTAATATTTTGTCATGCGGCGAAGAAATTACTAGATTTCTTGTTTTCAGATTGATTTTTACACGAGTTCATCGCTTTTATTTTTCGTTGTTTTCTCAAATGTTAGCCGTTATAGTACAAGAATGAAATTCTGTTGTATTTGGTTTTGTTTTTGTCCTCTAAAGTCAATAATTAACCTATTTTCGCAAAGTCAATTTTCTCAGCTTCTCTGGGACATTTTGTCGCTCGGTAAAGAAATATAATTTCTTGTTTTCTCATCAGTTGTACACTCAGGTTGAGTTCTTTTTGTTAACATTTGTTAATATTTTGACCCTTCATTTAGTCAACTTTAAAAAAATGATGTCTAGAAACCTGATCTTGTGTCTGTGGTTATTGCGCATATGGTTTATTTTTGTGCTTTTGCTTGCTCTGAAATATTCCAAAAAACACTAGGGAATTAGGGGTGGGTTGTGGGTAATTTCATTCAAGCATCTATGGGTTAAAGTAAGTTCTTTGTGGCCTGCTCCTTGATTTGTTGTCACTTTAGGCACATGAAAGAATCATATCTTTATCCCTTCCACTTTTGCTGGAACAACCAGAAATTACGCATAATACCATTGCTTCACTCTTGCACAAACTTCTCTTCAGCTCTGGTTTGTTTACTCCTGAGGGACACCAACATGGTGGATAGCAACCGTCGTCAAGGAAAGAGTCACATGGGTGAAACACAAGAATTTATCAGTCTTCTCACTTTGAGCAGTAAAAAAAAAAGATTCTTCGCATTTTTTGTAAAAATTCACCTACCATGATACCTTAATTTTTTCCTGGACACCATAAAAAGGTCCTCTGGACCAATATATAATAATGCTGTGACAAGTATGGTGGAGAGCAGAATGCTCCAGAGATTTACAGCTAGCATGATATAAGCAAAATTAAACACAGGTCTTCAACCACAAAATATTCAGTAATTTTCTACTAACCATAGCATGCTGCCTACTTTAGTTTATTTAGTTATTTTGGTGATATGTATGCATGACCTTACCTCAGTTATGTGGCAGCTATGAGAGGGACCCCTCAACAGTTAAAAGAATATGAGCTAATAAGGATTATTATGGTGCCTACCCTGACAAGATGAAGAGCACTTCTCAAAGTGACATTGACAAGCTTCATATTTTCTGAGGACTCGGAGGAAAAGTAACGACCAACAACCTGTGGCTGTAATATAGAAATTTATAAGCTTATGAGATGCCTTTAATTAAACAGTGGCACTTGTGAGGCCACTGCACTGAATTCCTCATCCATACATGTAGGTCATAATTATATTAAAACTCACTGGCATTGTCCAGAAATAACATAAAACATAACAGAACAGTAACACTAACATAATATCTACATGTAAGATGTAACACCATGGAGTATTCATAAAGTCACCCTTGTCTTAGACATTACTACAAAGAACGTAAAAGCTAAACACTGCCAGGTGGGGTTCATAAGTACTTCAATGAGTGACCAAGTAATAAAAAATACCTGGGTTTCTCTTTTTTAGTCAAGGATACGCGAAGTGTAGAAATGACTATTAGTAAGGGGCAAAATATGCAAATGTGTCACTCACTCGAATGTAAACTTTTGGCTGATAACAAGGAGAGCCTGAGTACGAGTTTCTCAAAGACCTTCAAAGTTGAGTGCAGCCGTTTTGGTTCATGTGTTTCCTTTTGTAAATGTGCAGTATTTTGCCGAGGGCTTTTGCTCACACGTAGATGAAAGCTGAGAGAGGTATTTATGACTGTGATCATGTATTGGTCACAACAAAATTTAAAATAAGCTTAAGCTTACTTCAAGCAAAAAATTCAAATTGCTTTATCTTTTAATTTTGTTGCTCTCCACCCTACATTTCTTCTGTATTCTATGCAGTTCGATCAAAGTGAGCATTTCTTCAGGAATGGTATACAAGTCAGCATCGACGGTCGAGTAAATATGCTCTAATATTTGATTGGATAGACAAATTAGCATCCAAGAGACTGTGTAGATCTACTTTTTGTGAGAGAGATTTACTTTCCAATCCTGTCAAACACAAGCCATATCAAAGAGGCATAGTGGCTGGTGATGTATGTACAATCTTATTTTTGGTCTGGAAACGAGATACGTGAACAACCATAATCAAAACTTGAAATACATATTAATTGTACCTGTCAACAATCGTTTTGAATATTTCTGCATTGCTAGTGAAATGAACACAAACAATTGCCAAGATAGGAATAAAAGAATGTGATTTCTGTTTCCAAGAAAGAAACTATTGTTATTTTTATTGTTTACATTACAATCTGCAATACCCTTTTTATTTTGTAATGCATCAAGCTGAGGGGACTCCCTATGGTTGACTCAAGGTGCACTTTTTATCAGGCGGGAGGTATGACAAAAAGGCAGGGATTTTAAACATGCATTACCAATTTATCCACAAATAGAGAAGTAATGGATCTACTGTAGATATGTGAAAGGGGTTTCAAGTTTAAAGCTACATGTATATGAAAGGGCAACTTTTCTGGAAAAAACACTATACAAAAGGGAAAGTATAATGACCTTGGGGCAGAGCCTCCTCATGAAAAACTTGGTTAGGTCCTTTCTCCCTCCCCCTGGGCATAGTGACACGCGGGAGTTTGGATACTCTACTGATTTTAAGGTACCATTATATATCTCTGATGAGATCTAAAGCTGATCTTCAATAACTGAATGTTGTTGCATTTACAATTTGTAGGGTTCAATTCCAGGTGTGGCTTCAAATATTTCCCCTTGTCTGATATGTTCCTATATCACAAGGAAAGCACTGTATCTCATGTGATCGCCAAGGTTAAGCTCTGTTCAGCAGGGTTAATACTTGGATTGGTGGTCCACTAATTATACCCAGTATTGTAAAATTTCTCAGGATCTCTTTTTGTTCTTCCTTTTCAAAGATGTGACGATACTTCATTTGTGTTACATGATGTTACTTTATTTCAGTTGTCTTACATGAAGTGTGCTAGCCCAGATGTAAGCGTGCCAAAAATTTTAAAAAATGATACATCACACCTTGTTCGCTTGGAATTCAATGACTTTCAGGTTTAGATTGCAAATACAGAAGGAAACAGGAGACTAATAAGTTGACTTTGTGATTTTTTTACAGAACACAACAGCAGGGAATTTATACAAACCACAATGACAGCGAAAACGTCGCAAAACAGACAGTTTAAAGTTTAACTACCCCTGAATTTTTTATCCTTTAATGAAATCTACTAGTTTTCCCAATTACTTCAGTGAAAAATTATCTTGATTGATAAAATCCCTTCATTTCTACAGGCGTTTCAAGTTGTAATCTCTGCAACCAGGACTGTCCACAGTGGGATCTGGCTCGGGCTTGCCAGTTTAGCCCACCACACTGCAAGTCACAATCGACAATTTGCCGGCCCATTTGGCTTATAAAGATTAAAACCATGGCTGAAGAGTTAACTTACAGTTATTGACGAGTTTTAAAAGTGTTCATGAACACGCAAAAATTCACGGAAAAATTTGTGTTTTCACTTCGGTATTATATTGTCGACTGACCACATGTATACAAAGTCAATTACTGAATTAGTGTGTACAAACATAAACATTGTGAGTCATACAAATTTGCATTTTTCGTACTTAAGTAATTAAAAATCATTTGACAAGATCTTGGCAAAAGGTTCAGTGTGGTATCAGTTAAGAGCTACTGCCTATAAATATAGACCAAACACTGGCACAAGTCAAAAAATCAATTTTGCTCATTTTTTGCCCATAGAATGGCTTTAGCTAGAAAACAAACAGACCATAGCTAATTTCCACCAATACAAATTTTATAAAGGAAAAGAAAAAATTAATGTTCAAACAGTAAACATAAAAGTAATCAAAAAATAAAAATGAGATGATATGGAAATTTGAAAAAATTCTCTATGGAAGAAAAACAATCTTCAACTGAAACCCTCGCACATAATTTTTGGCAAAGTTTTCAGTTAAAAACTGATGACAAAGCTATCGATGGATCGAATCATACAACCACCATTATTGCATACAAAATAGTCTTTAATTTAGGAGAACTTGTTCGACTCCAAACGCAAAAGATTAGTTCATCGCTTTGGTAGCTATTCTGTTCACAATGGTCTGGCCTCTCATGAAATACCCTGGTCAGCAGAATTACCTCCCAAAAATTGTTTACGACCTATTGGCTGATTGACTCAGGGTGAGATGAAAGTCAAACACTCTGCTTGCCCATTAGGTAAGCTGTAATTTCATCTTATTAGCCTAAATCTCTGAGGAGCTAGCCCAAAATTCTGTTGATATTTATTAGTATAGTTAATTAACATTCGGCAGGTGCAAATGCTCTGCGTGGTATGTACCCGGTTGTACATATATAAGAGTTACTGGCTGGAAATATCGAGAATGGCTGGCCAGGTTAGAAAAATCGAAAATCCTGAAACTTTGCCTGAAGAACGCTTTTAGAGAGCCACTTTCGAAAATATTATTCCGATTTCCTTAGAATTTAAAGTATTTGAGAAATTCGCAAAAAATGGAAATATAGCTTTTTGCCTCATTAAATATGCAAAAAATATCTGGAAAATTGACAAAGTTCTCGGTATTCGCATTGAAACAATTTACAAAACTAGAACTCGAGGTAAACTTAGCATAAGCGCTTTACCTTTCTTTTATCTAACAATGGGAAGTTTTAAATTTTTCAAGCATTTTGAAGGATTCCGTCGACCCTCGAAGAATTGCGTTTTCAAGCCCCTATGAAGACAGCAAAAATTGCGTAGTTTTACGGGCTTAAAACACATCTTGGTATGTCTGATATGGAACTAAAACAAGCACTGTGCAAAAGAGGTTCACACAGGTAAAATGCAAAAGTTCGCGACAGTCTCTTCTCAAATTTGCATGATGCGGTATGTTCAAAGAACTCAATTGTCGAGCACCCTAGTCTGTTTTTTCCATTTGTGGGCCTTGCTTTGTGGGAAATATACAAAAAGATAGTTGATCCATGTCGTTATTACAACATTGCTTCATTATTTCACGCAAGATATGTATAGAAAAATCTGTAGAAAAAGCCCAAAATATAAGTTCAAAGTTACATAGATTAAACATGCTACATGTATCACACGACTGGCGTCACGTAAGAGATATTTTCAGTTAGCTCCAATTGGAATTCCTTGATTATTGAGGTTTAGACACTTGCTTATGATAGAAGCATATAGGGGTTTGTCTTTCCCGTCTATACACACTCTATTAGTCTGCAAATATTCGAAAGGAGACTGGTCTTTTAAAGTATTTTTTAACCATTGTGTAGGTTTGATCTTGATGGAAAATGGATTAATTAGATGCACTAAATGAAATGAAGAGGTTTTATTAATGTGATCCAGCCAGACCAAGGAAGCAGGTTTTCTTGAAAAATAGGTTAAGACTGTTTGATGTCTATCCCGCGATCTGACCTCGGTTGGAATTCGGCCTAGTCCAAACGTCATGCTTCTGCCATCCCGAACTCAAATAAATTTGGCCCGGCAGTGGCATTACAAAAAGCTATGAAAGATTCAAACGTCGAATTTAATTTAGTCGTGCAGAAGATCAGAAAAAGTCTGCTTTGCTGAAGNGGCCTAGTCCAAACGTCGTGCTTCTGCCGTGCCGAACTCAAATAAATTTGGCCCGGCAGTGGCATTACAAAAAGCTACGAAAGATTCAAACGTCGAATTTACTGAATTCAGTCGCGCAGAAGATCGGAAAAAGTCTGCTTTGCTGAAGACCTTTTTAAATGCTAGAAAGCAACTGCAGCTGATGCAGCAGGATATGAATTCACAGGGACGGCGGAGTCTTTTTTTAAGTGAAGGAAGGGGGGATGGAGGTGGGGGGCTTGAAAACGAGCGGTGCCTACGCAAGTTTGTAGAGGGGTCTAGGGGCATCCTCCCCCCAGAAAAACATTTTAAATCTAGGGGCTCGGAAATGGTATTTTAGACATTCTCCATGGTGTAGTTCTCAGGAAAATCAACCTAGTGGATGAATTATAAAACGAAAGGTACTTTTAGTGCATTTGCAGCAATATATTTTGAAGGTATTGTGAGCTTGATACATCTTTCTCGGCCCTCCATGATATATCACGGCCTTAGTACTGACTGACCTGCGCTTTTACACAAGCCACCCCGTGTGTGGGAAGGAAGTGCACGCTGCGGAAAGGTTAA